CAGTTTGATGGAATATTAAAAGCATGTACTGATTTGGATGGGTTTAACTGGGAGAAGACTAGGAGACTGATAGCATACACGTTCTTGAGGATTTTTGCTTGTAAAGAGGATGAGAGAAAAAAGTGTGAAAACTGGAGGGAGAAATAAGGTTAAGACTTTTTTTAATAGAGGAAAATGTGTCATGTATATGTATAGAAGATAAAGTTCTGATGTGGAGGGAAAATTTGACATTGGAGCAAATTGCCAAGAAATGTCCTGTAGGCAAGGTGATGGGGTAGAATAAAGTGCCAAGAGAGCAGGCACTTTGTCCCTAGTAAAAGAGAGTAGATGGGCATAGGTCAGAGTTCATACAAAGGCCTCTTCTGGTTTTCTGTTTTAATGAGAAAATAAAAGAGCAGGAAGATAGAGGGATGAGTGTTGGAGATTTGGAGAAGTCAAATAGAAGAACGGGCTAGGAGAATTTACAGTGTAAATTTTGGTCCATGTAATGAGTTTATTTGAGGGAAATGATTGCTAACTGGCTCTCTACTATAAATTAACATAATGGTAAGTTTTTCTCTAGCTATGTTTAGCTGTGCAGGCAGAGAGTTGGTTAAAGTGGGTTATGGTTCATCCAAATGAAGAAAGTGAAGTAAAACTGGGCGGGAAGTTTGAGGGAATATATCACAAGAGTGAAATTTCATTCCACTTAAATATTTCAGAATGTGTCTATAACAGGATAGGATTTAAAAAAAAAAAACACCCACAAGCAAAATGAACAATAGTCCTTTGGTATCAACTTATATTTAATTTTTCAAATTTGTCTGGTTCTCAGAAATGTTTTTTACAGTTAACTTGTTCAGTCCTCCATTTCTTCAAGGAGTTCCTAATGGGAAATGTTATTTAGAGGTTATAATATGGGTGTCTGTTTTTTAAAAAAGATGTTCTTTTCGGTTATTTGATTCTTCATAGTACTGATTGGTTTCTTTTCTTAATTCAACAGGCATGCCCAAAGAAAAATACGAGCCCCCTGACCCTCGGAAGATGTACACAATTATGTCCACTGAGGAAGCAGCAAATGGAAAGAAATCACATTGGGCAGAACTTGAAATAAGTGGTAAGACAGACATGCAAGCATAAATTTATGGTATGGAAATTAGTAGAAAATTAAGGGGTTTTTTTTGTTTTGTTTTTTAATTAAATCTTTATTGTTCAGATTATTACAGTTGTTCCTCTTTTTCCCCCCAATAGCTCTCCTCCACCCGGTTCCCACTCCACCCTCTTCTCCCAACCCCACACACCCCACTGTCCTCATCCATAGGTGTACGATTTTTGTCCAGTCTCTTCCTGCATCCCCCACGAAAATTAAGTTTTTTATGCCAGTTCATAAAAATAGCAATGTTGTATTTTACCAGCACTAATTTATCTTGGAAGCAGGAAGGTCCAGTGGGAAGAACATGGTTTGAGTCAAAGTTCAAAATTCATTCAGTGTGTGTGTATGTGTTTAATATATTTATTGATTTCAGAGAGGAAGGGAAAAAGAGAGAGAGAGATAGAAACATCAATGATGAGAGAGAATCATCGATTGGGTACCTCCTGCACGCCCCCTACTGGGGATCAAGTCCACAACCCGGGCTTGAGCTCTTGGCCAGAGTCAAGACTGAGACCCTTCAGTCTTGCAGGCTGACGCTCTATCCACCGAGCCAAACCAGCTAGAGCCCATTCATTGTTTATGCTCTCAGTACCAGTGTCCTTTTATAAAATTGGAATAATATCAAGGATGAAATGAAAATAACACAGGTGAAATGCCTCATGTGCAAAGGTTTGTTCTGGTACTTAATTCTCTGATAGAGGAGGATTGAGCTTTTGCATTATCAAATTACAGATTTCCAGTGAGGTTGGACCTGCTTGTTCTAGTATAAGTTCTAGGATAGATTTGTTTCTCCTCCCTTTCTTCACTTGCTTTTTTAAATCTGAGTCTCTGAGGAGAGTCCTGTTCAGAAACAGAATCTTACAAATTTGAAGTAGATCTCAAAGTTCCTTTCTACCTTTAGTGCTTCGTAGACATTTTCCGAGAAAATGTGAGCTCCCAGATCCACAGAGGATATCCCCAGCATCCTTGCCAGTGGACATGCAGCATTTTTTATTTAATTCTTCAAAGGTGAAGGGACATTAATTCTGAAGCAACCAGTGCTAAAGAAGTTTTCTTTTAATGTTGTCCTAATGTGCCTCCCCATACTTTCCAGAAATAATACAGAGGAAGTTTCCTCTTCTTTCTGTCCTTGATTTTTTTTTAAATATATTTTAGTAATTTTTTACAGAGAAGAAGGGAGAGAGATAGAGAGTCAGAAACATTGATGAGAGAGAAACATCGACCAGCTGCCTCCTGCACATCTCCTACTGGGGATGTGCCCGCAACCCAGGCACACGCCCTTGACCGGAATTGAACCTGGGACCTTTCAGTCCGCAGGCCGACGCTCTATCCACTGAGCCAAACCGGTTTCGGCTGATTTTTTTTTTTTTGATATTTTTTTAATGTAATGCAGCAAACATAGTTGTGCTATGTGTACAATATTTTGCCAGGTGCTGTACTAAGCATATGGAGATATGAAAACTCACAGTCCCTCTCACACTGGAGCTTACAGCATATTAGTGAGTGAGAAGAAGGGAGTTTACCAGTATAAATAACTAATACACAAACTATAACTGCCAGGTCTAGGTAGAAAAATGTTATATTGGAATGAAATTGAAAATAACCTATACTAATAAAAGGGTAATATGCTAATTAGACCGGACATCTTCCGGACAAAGCCACCGCAGCGGGGGCCAAGGCAGAGGCCGTTGGGGGCGATCAGGCTGGCAAGGGAGGGCAGTTAAGGGGCGATCTGGCTGGCAGTGGGGAGGTGGGGGGGAGCAGTTAGGGGACAATCAGGCCTGCAGGCCGAGGCGGTTATGGGTAATCAGGCCGGCAGGCAGGCGAGCCATTAGGAGCCAGCAGCCCCGGATTATGAGAGGGATGTCCTGGATTGGAGAGGGTGCAGGCTGGGCTGAGGGGACCCCCTCCCCCCCCCTCCCAGCCCCCTGTGAACAAATTTTGTGCACTGGGCCTCTAGTGATAATAATCTTCCCTTGTTAGCCTAATGAGTGAGTAAACTCAAACGCCCTCTTCTGTAGCCATAGAGATTGGTTTACCTCTCCTGATCTTTATTTTTATTTCTTATTATTTTGTAAATAATTCTTTATTGTTGAAAATATTACATATGTCCCCTATTTCCCCCATTGACCCCCTCCAACCCACCTCTGTCCCAGGCCTTCACCACCCTGTTGTCTTGGTCCATGGGCCATGCATATATGCATACAAGGTCCTTGATTGATTACCTCCCACCTACCCACCCTTCCCTGCCTTCACTCTGAGGTTTTGCACTCTGTTCCATGCTTCTATGTCTCTGGATCCACTCCATTTATTAGTTTATTTTGTTATTTAGATTCCACATATGAGTGAAATCATGTGACACTTGTCTTTCTCTGACTGACTTATATCATTTAGCATAATATTATCCAGGTCCCTCCATGCTATCTTAAAGGGTAAGAGATTCTTCCTTTTTACTGCTGCATAGTATTCCATGATAAAAATATATCAGAACTTTTTAATCCATTCATCAACTGATGGGCACTTAGGCTGTTTCCAGATCTTAGCTATGGTGAATTGTGCTGCTATGAACATAGGGGAGCATATATCCTTTCTGATTGGTGTTTCTGGTTTCTTGGGATATGTTGTGTTCCAGCCCCAACAGGTCCAGGGGTTCCCAAAGGTGTGGACGGAGTCGGCAAAGAAGGAATGACACGAAGGCAGCGTTCAGG